ACTTCAGAGTAGAAAGCTGAAGTCCTACCTGGTACTCTGAGCTTTACCACTAACTACTTCAGGTTACACCTTGCCCTTTCTGGGTTTCTAAACTGCTAGTGAGATAAACAACCCTTACTGACAGTGCCTGAAATCCAGAGACCGCCAATCACCTGAGTTCACTTAAATCAACCCACTCAACCAGGGATAGAAACCGGAAAGTAAACAGGCAAATATAAAAGTGGCACAGACAGACACACAGACACAAACACAGACAGACACACCCCTTTTACTCCTCTGCCCTAGCTCTTATTCTTAAAAAACTAAATATACTTGACCCTGAAAAATAAGGTTGCAACTATGCATGTCCATCCTCACTCAGATCCTTCAGTATTATTACATCACTACTGTGGTTCTTCCTCACACATATTCAGCCCTGTAGATCAGAGGGTCTGCATTTAAGCACTCAACCAACAGCAGTCAGAATACATTAAAAATTACATCTGGGGGCTGGAGAGACGGCTCAGCAGTTAAGAACACAGCGGCTCAGCAGTTAAGAACACAGGTTGTTCTTGCAGAAGACTGGGGTTCAAATCCCAGCACCCACATGGCAGCTAACAACTGTCTATAACTCCAGTCCCAGGGTATCCGACAGCCTCTTCTGACCTCGGCAGGCACTGCACGACAAGAGTGCACTTATCTCCAGGCAGGCAAATAGACGCATACACATAAAACAAAAATAATTAATTAAAAAAATTTTTTAATTGCATCTATATGGAGCATATATACTTTTTTGCCCTGCCATTACTCCCTAAACAGATAAATAGAACAACCATTTACATACCATTTCCTTTGGGGTAGGGATTATAAATAGTCAGAGGTGATTTAAGCTATATGGGAGGATTGCGGAGGTCATATGCAAACACTACACCATCTCACACAAGGAGCTTGGACATTTGTGGAGGTTGGTATCAAGAGGGGGAGAGGACCTAAGAACCAAAAACCCCTCAGATACCAAGACCAAGGGATGGACTATAGTTTCCTCATCCCACAGAACAAATGTAGATGGAACATCTTTCCAAGAGCTAAACACCCATAACTGTATGTTGAAGCAAATCTGACAAAATGAAATTTGTTCTAACAGTAAGAGTTCCCCCCCATGCACACACTGTACCATGTGTTAAGTAACTTAGCTGTTTTTCCCATTGCTGTGTGATCATATAAGAAAGGTCCCAGATGTGATTCTTGTACTGGAGGGCAGACTTAGTGCTGATGAGGGACCTTTGTATTATCTTGACTCCAAACTTTCCTTTTCTCCCGCATCTCACCTTTCAGCTGCATTATTCACTGATTATTTTCCACATACTGTGCACACTGAGCTTTCCATGCTGTTCTGTCTGACTGAACCTCCCTTATTCCCACCATCTCAGCAATCTCAAAGTCATCCTTTAGACATACCTGCACAGTAGTACTCAGCTTACAGAGTGGATGGCGGTCTGCTCCTCCCCTACCCCACCCCAAAGGACAATGAGCCAAAATCAGAACCTCCATGACCTTAGCACACAGTACAGCACTTAACACAACACGCACAATTAATCACTATTTGCTAAATTAGAAGCTTCCAAACTATATGTAGGAAGTTGTAACTTTACTGGCGTCCACCCACTGCTTTCCAAATATCAATGTCACATTGTCCAATACGCCAGACTAGTGCAGTGAAGCACACCCCCAAACCACTACTGTTCCTGCCTGTCAGAGAATCTCTGGTTGCAAAGACACTTTCACCTTGTTCACGGACCCCACAGAAGGCCAGCACTCTGCCTCGGCTTTTTCCTCCACCTCGGCCAACTGGCTTCCCTCAAATTCACAAAACTTCTTTTGTGCCTTAGGACCACAGCACATTAGCTCCCAGGATGGGTTTTCACTACTTGCTGCTCAACGGCAAATGTGGTATTTCCCTCTTTCAATTGCTTACTCCTTGGTTGCACTGCACCTATGAGACTCAATCTATAAAGCCTTAATAGTGGAAACAAGGCTTTATGCTGACCATTTTTCCTAGACCACAGTAACAGCTCTCCTTAAATTACCTAAATACCTTAAGCTACCTATACATACAAGTAAAAGGTCACCAATGAGGTCTAACAGATCCAAGAATTCAAGGCAGTGAAACAACCTGCCCAAACCCACAGATTCCAAAGTCTAATTCTACATGCTGAATCAGGCTTGTGAGACTCCTGCAAGACCCACATCTTGGTGATATTTGCCCTTTCTGTGCCTATATTCTAGAATGGGTGGTCTTTCTTAAACTGTCCTTCCACCTTGAATGTCTTCCATGACTGGGGATCAGCTTTCAGCAGAGCTGGCTGCTATGGGCAGACCTGGGCCATAGGGCTTTGTTCTTCAGGGAAATACAATTATCTTCTAATTCTGCTGGAAGAATCCCAGACACTAATGATTTAATGCTGTTAAAAGTGCAGAGCACATCTCGGCTGAAAGTCCAACCACACTGTCAAATGTTATGTTACCATCGGGGTAAGAGGATGACAGAAAGAAATGTTAAGTTTGATGGAACTGACTTCAGAGATGTTTTTGAAGAAACATTTTTAAGACTGCATGGGATATGTAGGCCAAAAACCAAAATAAGAGGGGCTAGGGATATAGCTCAATAGTAGAACACTTGTCTAGCAAGCATGAGGCCCTAGGTTTGATCTTCAGAATGGCAAAGAGGGTAGGATTCATTATGAGCACTGCTAAGGAATTTAAAGTTAACAAGGCCCAGTGTCCAAAGGTAAAGTTTCAGGAGGCTCTATGTTCCCAAAACATACTATAGCCCTCTATAGTTGAACACTATAACTGAGTCTTTCCAGAATTTCCCATAGCACTTTACAGTTAACCAGACCCAAGTTGTCCACATGACACTGAGATGAGACCAGGCCTACTGTTCAAGCACTTGGAATTCAGTATCAGTGCAAGCACAGATTGGGTAGGATCTGTGAGTACCAAAGGTAGGATCCTGAGTTTTAAAGAGAAGCCATGGCTGTTTCCAGCACTGGTCTTCAGTCTTTGTGCTTTCGTCATTGATGGTAGACTAGAAAACTTGCCCCCCTAGTGTCCTGGAGGTGGCTGAAGGATGGAGACACTCTGGGAAGTAGCGTCCTGCCTTCAGCATGGACTTGAAAGAACAGCTCAGACACGGGGATCCAAGTGCAACAATGACCACCTTCCTCAGAGAGCAAGCATTTCCGGCCCGCATCTATGAGAAGAGAAAACCTTTCATTTTATTTCTAAGGCTCTTCCAGTTTCAACTTAAAAGCCAAAGGAATATGCATTATCTCACATCAAAACCTTAGCCCACAACTCAGCCCACTTCATGAAGCAAAGAGGGATCACACTTGCAGGCAGCCCCCACTCACCCAGTGGGGCAGGATCTCAGCTTCAGAAGCTGCTCCATCCTGCTGGGGTTGGGGGGTGCTGCCTTTCTTTCCCACTCTCACAAACCTCACATCTAAATCTTGGTGACTTCTGCCTCTCTCTTTGAGATCATTTCCTTCCTAGAATGGAATTAACAAGGCCAAGCTCTGTAAATGTGTGTTCTCCTCAAGCAATTTTCACTAAAATAAAGCACTCTTGAAAAATAAAAGGACACAAGAGATGTGTGAACTCTCCATGCCAGTTTTCTTTTAGTTTTTTTTCCTCCCCCAGTGAGGCCCCAGCACTATGGTAATTCATTCATGTCACCCATTTGTGAGAAATGAGAGAAGAAATCTCCACTTGTTCTTTTCCTAATTTAGAACCTTCCCTTATTTTGAGTCTATCAAAGCTGATCCTGAGGTGGGAAGGCAAAGGGAGGCACCAAGGAGCATTAGCCTGAAGTGACTGCCTCCACCGAGGCTGAATAAGCCCTTTGGGTCCCTACCTGTGTCAGAGCATGCATCTACATTTAGGTGATGTGCCGCCCCCACCTGTCCCCCTCCCTGTGTCCCCTTGAAGCAGAAGTCTGAGTTCTCTCTTGGGGCACTTACATAAGACCCTGTAAAACTTCCTGTGACATTCACAGAAAATGTAAGCTGCTATTTTGCTCCCTCAGGAGCTCATTTTAATGGACTGAGTGACAAAATTCACGGATTCAGAATTCAGCAGAAGCCTGCCCAACCGAGGTACATCAGCACAGGGACAGAAAAAAAGATCCATCTCCATTAAACAGGGTCGCCCAGGGGATGGACTGGGTGTGCAAAAGACAATCTGCTCCCTCCCAAGTGACCCATTTAAAATCTGATTGTTGGGGGGGGCGTACTCATAGGTTTAATAAATTTCAAACAGGCCAAGACAGGCTTGCAGAACTGCGGTTGCATAGAAGGCGCATTTCGAAGGAGGTAACAAGGCAATGAACAACAGAACTTAAGGATTCACAAACTTTGGAGCCTCCATCCCAACCTTCAGAAGCAATGACGTTTACAGTAACTCTGGACCGCTGTACACTAACTGATGTGTTGATTGGGTCTTCTCCCCTACAGGTATCGATGCCAACTAACCACTGTCCTAAAGAGGTACTTGAAAACTGTGTTTGCACACCACACCCCCCAAATCGGCCTCTGCAACTAAGAGAAAAGTTCTCCAGGGCATCTCATCACAAAAGGGAGGTGAATAGCGAGGAGAGAGAGACCTGTCTAAACACAGCGGGCTCTCTCAAGTACAGATACTCAGGGCCAACAGGACCAGGGAAAAGCACCGGAATGGGAACGCAGCATCTCAGGAGTGGACGAGAAACTTCCCCCTTGCTCTAACCCATCAGCATCCTGCGTACCTATGAGCCTGGCACGCCCTGAGACAAGTCCTGGGCACATCGCAGATGCGGGGTCTTCCACCTCCTGCCCCTCCAGGGCTCACAACCAAGGCAAACGTGGCTGTGTGTCCACCTCCCTCCTCTTGGCCCGCATGCGAAGCACACGGGTGCCAGCCACAGGTTCGGGTAACTTGTTCGGCACCACCACGGGCGATCTCTGGCACCCCGGGGCTCTTACCTTGGCCGTGACTACCCCGAGGCAGAGGGAGACCGCGGAAGAGCTGAGTGACGCGGTGACAACGACGCCTCCGAAGTGCAGGGGGTCCGGGTCGGGATCCTGACCGGCGTGGCTCTAGCCGGAGCGTCGGTGCCAAGCGCAGACTTCGGGACAGCCTTGGGCTCCAAACGCCACGGGGCAGGTCGGCGTCGCCCGAGCTGAGCACAGTCCCCTCTTTCTCCTCCTGCCGGGCTGCCGCCTGGAGCTGCTCCCCGCCGGAAGGACTCTTGCGAGCCGGGGGCGCCCCGCATGGGCAGTGGCCTGGGGCCGCCCTAGCTCGGGTCCCGGGAACCCGCGCCGGGAAGAGACGCGGAGCGGCAGTCGGGCGGCTCCACCTCCCGCGCTCCGCGTGGCTTCGTCCCTTCAGGGCAGGGCCTGCCAGCACCCGGCCCGACGAGGCGAGCGCGGCCGCGCCCCCAGCTCCGGGAGCCCCGGCTCGGGCGCAGCGGCGGGGCAGAGGCAGCACAGCCCGGCCGAGCGGCGAGCAGGCGGAC